TTCAAACGTTTTATTTCTGGACAAAGTGAGGTTGTGAAAAATGAATCTACTGGCCTGAGAGTTGTTCATCTTCTCGATTTTTCCCAGATAATAAGTAACAACTCATCCCCCGACCCTTTCAGCAACTTTTTTTAAACTTTCATCATGCGGATAAAAAACGATTAGACGAGTTGTCAAAAACTTTTATGAAACTAATATGAAGGTTGAGCAATAAACAATATTTCGTAATTGAACAATTAAACAAAACAGGTTCATAATATTTGAAGGTTTAATGTATACGCTCTGATCGCATTTAAGGGGGAAATTGTATGGCCACAATTAACCACAGTGTTTTAACGTGAAATTCTCTGTCTGAAACGTCTTCCCGGACTTTAACGAGGCCGGAATTAATTTAATCGAGTCTCTACTAACAGACTCAAAGCTGTTGTAAAGGGAAATGAAATTTATCCACGACCGGAGTCCAACTCCAGTGTGAGACAATTGTTATCTGGGCGGAGAGACGTTACGGAAACCACCTCCGCCTCCAGTGGGACCGACGTCGCAACCACCGCCTCACAACCACCGACGCATTTCCGGAATCCCAAAACTGGCCCCAACGACTTACAATACGGCTGACCGGGATAACTTGGCGTTGCGATCGATATCAACATTAGCAAAACGGTAGGACAAAACCTTATAAAAAAATACAAACAAAACACAGACAAAATTATTATTGAACGAACAATAATTATAGTCCATTATGGTCTGGTTGACCAAATTACTTCTTTCAATTAATTATTCTTTTTATGTAAGGTCTTGGTTGAAATGAAAAAGTTTGTAATTTTGTTATTAAATAATTGCAGTATTATACAAGTTGATCTAATAATAGAATCGCACACCCTAAAGAAAAGTGACAAATCGAAAAATCATAAAAACCGGATTATTTATTGTATTTTTTTACAAGTATTTGTGCGTGTGATGCTACAGGAAAAATGTCACTACAGTAGGTGAACTCTTAGCTGCTTGACAGCAGTATGTGTCAAGTTTGAATTGGGTGGAACGTACTGTCCCCATTCGCGAAATGTGGCATATCTTAGTTCTTTGTCCAGCTTTAAAGCATTGGTGCGAGTATTTATCAGGAAAAGTGGCACATTTCGAGTTACGTCAGTTTTTTCTTGTTTTATGATATTCCGGAGTTACATCATTAGTTGTGTCACTATTGTTATAATAACCTACACATCTTTTTAATATAATATTCCTGCGCGTCAAGGGATCAACTTTCGCAACTTGGAGCATTGATATATTCATTACATAATGTTTATTTGCATATTTATTTTTCAAAATAACTTTTACATCACTTGGCAAACTGATTCTAAATTTGTTGACAACCAACAAGAAGGAAACTGCCATCAGTAATGGTAATGAAGCTATGAAATTCCACCTCTTTGGCAATTGCTTCGGAGGCGAAGTGTTATAGATATTGGATCTTCTCGTTTCATTTTGATAATGGGTAATGAGAAGAAAAGTATTATCTATAATGCTGACAGTTCTGGCATTTTAGATTTCACTTACAAATCTTGGAATTATGAATGCTCAGCTTAAAAGTTGCAGGTCAAAAAGTTACAGAAAATCAAAATATTGTAAATACTAAATTACCATAATTATATTATGCGACAAAAGATTGCATGTCCTTAATCGAATATAACGGCATTTTTATGCTGTGTTTTTCTCTTCATTGTAAGAGCAAAGTAGTACTAATTTTAGAATTATTTTAGATTTCAACGTTAGACGTATCGACTACTTTTTTACTCATGAACACCCTAGATCAAGATATATTCTGGAAGGAAAAAGAAAATTCCGTTATCACTGCCAAGCTTTCAACCTATTTAAAAGTGATCATCACGGCCTATATTAATTTCACATTATGAAAAACAATTGTTAAATCAATAGTACAAATATCTTTACGTAATGGACATTTATGTTAACTTGTTACGTTTTGTACGTTGTCTGTTACTATCAAAAAGACATTAATGTCCTTACAGTCATTCATTGGTGCCACTTATCGTAAAGGTAAACAAATTAACTTAAATTATTGAGAGTCAATATATAGCAATAAAAGTGTCACAATTGAAGATGGGAATTTTTTTTTGGGGGGGGAGTACATCAGGATTTGTAAAGCTTTGTGTTTTCGCTTACGTCTTGGAGAAACGAAAGACAGTATTGATGGATCATGATACTTTTTATTGCCAACAGCCGTATGTATTAGTACATAATTCAAAAAAAGTAAACTTCCATTTGTCTCTCCGGTAAAATTTTCTTTTATAGAGTTTAATCACTTTTCTTGTTGGTATGCGAGATTAGATGTGAAGTAAGAATGTCCTAGATTAACATTTACACAAAGATAATGAAGAACATGGGACTATACATTTTACTATGTGTACACATAATATTCTATTCTAAAGTAAGTCAAACATTTTTTAAATCATTTGTTTTTAAAAAATATAAATTTTTGTGCTGGATCAACCGGGAACAGTTTTTTCCGGTGCTCCAGGTAAATGTTTTTAATCTACTGAAATATACTAAAACATTGGTATATAGGAAAAATTAAATATATCCTTCATGTTGGGTAAACAAAGCCACTAATTACTGTATCAGGATATAACACATTTTCAAAATTGCGCTGAGTGTATATAATCAAGGTAAACCTCAAGTCTCACATGTTCATTATGCGGACGAAAAACGACTTGCCTAATATACTAACATTACTTTTACTCCATTACTTGATATTAAGTATTTTTGTTAAATAATTTTTACGTCATCACTTACAACAAACTTTATTTTGAGGAAGTTGTGTATAATGCCGAAGACATTTTATACATTTCTAAAGATCATTTTTTTTCTAACACAGTTTATTGCTTTTGTTAAAATGTTTTGTAACAAAAGAGTTAAAATGTAATTGCGATTACAAAAACCGTCTCCCTATCCGTTACATAAAATTGTACGAGATGTGAGATAGCCTGTAATGAAAAGCAAACAAAACACCACCCCCTGTTATCCTTCTCGTTGGAAAACATTCAGAACAACAGAAGAATTTTCGATTAAAGAAATATCCGGATTAATAAAAGTACGCACAAGCCATTAATATGGAAAATGCTATTAACATCGTAATTCCCTTCGTGTAATAAGTTTGACAAATCTATGTGTCATAAAAGTTGGAGGTAAAGAGTAATAAACAGAAAAATTTGTTTTGAATGTATCTATATAAATAATTTTATATATATAAATGTATATATATAAAAGATATAAATTGGATATTGCTTGGAGAGGATGATTGATGGAGAGAAACAAAAGCAAAGACACAGGAGAAAAAATATTTTCTCAAGCTTTCATTGAAAACTAGATAACGAGAAAACGTTACATACTTTCTTCTACTGTGTCTCTGCTTTTATTTTTCTCCAAGCAATAACCAATTTCAAATAATACCTCAGCTTATCGGAGATTGGTGCTAAAAATTGAGGACAAGACTGCATGAAGAAAAATGTACTCGATGTACATTCACATTGAAAAAAGCCTTGCCATTGACTGTACATCAACTTAAGAGACAATTTAACAGAAAGCTTGGTCAACTTCGAAGACTTATGACTAGGACAAATCGCCTTGACTGTCAAGACGCAACTAACGTTTTACAAGACTTTACTGCGACCAGTTTGGACTTACGGAGTGGAACTGTCGGGTTCTGCCAACCTATCCCCCATCCATCGCATCCTTACAAATAAAAATTTACTTGAGTTTTAAGGATAACGACATAACTTTTAATGATTGTTTGAGAAAGCATTTCATTTTCCTGTAAATGTTTGAATTTTTTTTATGTCAAAGCAAACCAGTTGAAAACTGATTATCAATTCAATAATATAAATAACATCTGTAGATTTAGAACGAAGAACAATCTAAGGGAAAATGTTTCTTTCTCCGATTGCTGCCTCCCTTTCAGTCTAACGTGTTTATTTTTATTTATTGACGCCCTAATTCGTGATAAACGGTGGAAAGGGCAATTTGGCACGGAGTGAGATATTGATTTACCGGAAACGTTTGAATTAGAAAAGAAAGTCACGGTATCTAAGGTATTTATCCGGACTATTTGTCTCTTCAGGGAATCACATCCGCACTTCTTTTAAGCACGCCACGTCACAAATTTGGACACGAAACAATGTTCCTCACATGACAAGTTTACAACTCACGAAATCCTATTTTTGAAAAGTTCATGTCTATGAAAATGTGTGAATCGAGTCGCACGGAAGACAGTGAAGACAGGCGTTTACTGCCTTATTACATTTTTTTAAATCAATCTAACATTAATCCTGCTGTCAAAATAATAGCAAGAAAACGTTGGGTTCACTTAAACTTTTCGTACATTTTAATTTAATTTGTAGCAGTTTTAGATAGGTTGGAAAGTTATCTTACAGACATCCCACTTATTATTATGAATAACTTATTCAATTTGTGTTTTTATTAACTTATTTACGTTTCATAATAACATTCAAGTAAAAGATTATCAAAAACAATGACTATTTTTATATTGTAACAATTGTCTGAGCAAAAAATAATAAAAAGTTTAATCATATTTAGAGGTAAATCTTAAGAGAACTGATGGGTTTTGGCAATGCAACATTGATCAAATATTAACACGATTTTTTAAATATTTATAAGTTAGATAAACTTTGTGTGCTACTAAATTTAAAGTGTTGATAACAAAATAACTACGTCGTACACTTCAATTTTACAGTATCGAAAATTTCATCTTGAGCTTAAATGAGAATAATTATCCAAACTTTATTTACAAACTTTTATTTAACAGTTTAAGAGGCTGGGCCAACTTTATTTCCAATAAAATCATCTGATGGATCAAGCTTAGCGAGTCTGTAATCACATATGTACACACAATGTCATTTCATGTCGCACTAACCGAGTTTAGTATTTTTGCCAAGAGTCGGCCAGTCAACCCTTCCGGCGACCCTCCGACCAGCGTCGACCTACTGGCTCGAAGAAGGCCTCCCGGGTGATTCCTGCTCCCTGGCACCTTCCTCGTCCGTTTCGCTGTTAGACGTCGGGGATCCCTGCGGTGGCCTGGTATCATCCTCGATGGGTGCACGGCACAACGGACACTTCAGGGAGTATTCTAAGGCCGTCTCGAGGCACAGAAGGCAGAAAACGTGGGCGCAAGGGGTTGCCATGATGTCCTTCGACAATTCGTCCAGGCACACCGCGCATATATTCTTGCTACAAAAATAAAACATTTGCTATGAAATAATCTACATACTAAGAAAAACTGTCGTGAATGAAACAGTCGAGATTGTCGGAGTTCACAGTTTTAACGTTCTCAGACCTGGTGTAACTAAGCACTTTGAAAATTCATAAGCTTAGTTAGTATACATTCGATCCATCGCACTCACAATCAGTCTCAAAAAGTCCGAAGAATCCGCTCACCTTCGCTTTGTAGCGGGCGGCGACTCGCTTTTTCTCCCTTTCCTCTTCCTGCTGGTACCGCTTGATGAACATTCGACAGAATTTTGTGCTTCGTTGCTAGTACTCCGTCTGGTTGAGCTTTTCTTCCTTCCTGTAAATAGGTGAATAATGTAAAATTTCTTTTTAGGTCAGAACGTTTTAAATATTGACTTAGTAAATTTTATAATCGGCTTCACGAACTTCAGTATTAACAGTTGTAAGGTTAAACAAACTGCAAAGAAAACTGAAATTCCTGAAAGGCACGTAAAACATCTCCATTTCTGTCCGAATACTTCTAAAAAGCTGAAAGAGAGTGATACACACTTTTGATCAAGTAAAAAATATATAATGATATCTTACCTCTCATTGACATGAACAGTGAATTTTGTTGTAGCAATGTTTTAACAAATCCTTTTTTATATTTTTCCAAACGTGTTTCGTTAATTCCTCGGATTCTTTGAATCGTTTAAAAATTAAACGGTTAACAATAACTTTTACCATGTGTCATCACGCAATATGATTCTTAAATAAACAATATTCTCCAATGGCTGCTTTTTTGTTGTTGTAAAATGATTACCGCATAAAAATAAATAAACGTTAAAAAATAGTTTTGTTATACTGGGTATCTCTCTTTCAATGAGGCACCCACTTTTTATCGGAGACAAAGGGTTATAAAAAATTTTAATTGGTAAATACCTTTTTTTTTGCCTTAGATGTAAAATAAGTGGTTTCAACTATTTTTTAATGTCCCCTTAATAGTTAAATGAATATCAACTTTATTTTTTCAAATAAAACCTATCATGATTTGCTTCATTTTGAAAGACTAGATCTTTTACATAGACAGTAAGATAGATTAGGTTTTTCTGGAGATATTTCAATTCATATATTAAGAAATATTTCATACTTTTAATGTTGTTCTAAGGTCTATTGGCATTGTTACTCACTTTTTACGTTAAACGCTGTCCAAATTGATTCCACTGTCTGCCGAATACCACCTTTTAGACATCCTCTGCTCGTTTGTTACATCAGCGATATTGACTCTGGACGAACGCAATGGCAGGCTTCGATTATTCGATCCTTAAATTCTTGAACGGATGTGAGAGGAGTAACATTGCCGTAAGCTCCATTGTTGAGATACCCCGTAGAAATAGTCTAGCAGGGTTCAAGGGAACGAGCTGGCCAAAAATTGGCATCGGTTTTCAATCCATTTTCAGGAAAACCCCGATCTAGGAATCTTGGATTTTAAGGGGCAGCAATCGTCTAGTTGAAACCATGAACCTGAATGGTAATTCCTCCAAGAATTCTGGTCATTCGTTTACGAGAAAACTTAGAGAAAAAATCTCTGGATAAGTTATTTTGGTACAATTAAGGATGGATTAATTTATTTCTAATGAAGCCACAGTAACCATTATTTGAAGATACGTTTTTAAGACCAGTTTCATATACCATTCGAGGCTTTTCCTCCAGGTTCAACAATTCCACCGGTTTAGATTATTGGTACATTTGGACTCATATGAGATATTCGGTCATATCTAGAATATGAGATAGTAAATCGATCGAACAAATGTATATTTTGTTTCTATTCTGTATTTGACAACCTTGTAACAAACGATAGGCTAGCATTTTAGGATATGGATACATTATACATTTAAAAGTAGAGAGTCAGTAACCGGATCGAGACGTTCAAATGGCTGCAGTTTATAACAAAATACGAGCGAAAGAAGAGAAAAAGAAGGAAAAGATGCAGAGAGCCGGCTGTTTGTCGGCCCATAAACCTCCCACTTTATATTAAATGTCAACATCAGTTTAAGTTATAAAATTAAGCCCTGTTTGTTTTTATTTTATAGCATGTTGCTCCAATGTATAATGTAATCAAATGCGTGCAATATACTTTGAATAAAGCATGGTGAATTTACTTATAAGCCGCAATGTTTACTAAGGCCAAGAAAAAAATAGATTGAGCGTAAAAATAAATCTGTTTCTGGTGTAAGTGTTTTGAATAAAGCTAAAATTGGAAGGTAGACCTGTTCATATTTTTTTTTCGTCGGGTGGTTATACAATATTTGTGCCATATTCACGCTTTTAAACAATTTTATTGCTATTTTTTTATGACGAAATCCATTTTTCAATCGACATAGTAAATGGTACAAATGGCAAAAGATTGTCGATTTTATCATGAATGTTCTGAAAACTCGTAATAACATATCATACATAATTTTTAGCACTGAACAAATTAAAAAATGTTAACAATTCCTTGCTACAAGCTCAACATGTATAAACATGTTCCTATAAATCATTTTATCGTCTGATGTTTTGTCTGTCAAATGAGGTAATATCATTCAGCAGGATGCCGTAATCTTTTGTTTACTGTACTGATTTATAGTCCCATGTTACTATGCATTATATTTCCATTAAGACTTTTCTATCAACCATTGAGTCTTGAATATACATTTTCGCCTGACATTTCAATAGAAACATTATTCTAAATGATAAATTGTTAAAATAGAGAAATTGAAGAATGGTGGCCGCCCCCCGAATGTTTATCAGAAGTTAATAGAGTCGGGTTATTTTTCCGTCGAGTTAAATAATGATGTCGGTTGATATAAAATCTTTTCCCTCTCTCTCCGAGAAAAAGAAAATAAGTTTTAATTTCACCTTACATAAATAATTAAATTTTAACGAAAACTTATTTTTTGTACAGGTGATGTGAGTGACGGTGTGATGAGGTGCGGAGGAGATGTGGACGCTGTGGCTTCAAGATGAGAGCTGGCCACTGGCTCATCTTCCTGGTGGTTATTGTAACAAGGGTTACTGGAGGCCCGAGGTATTCTTCCAGGATTGTGGAGACCAGGACTGGTCCGATCCGAGGTGTAAGTGATTCTAACAATCAACATTTATTACAAATACTCCGCATTAGAAATGGTTGAAAACACCTATCGATCGGATTTGGTGGTCCAGTTGAACTGAATTAGTCAGTGTAGTCAACGATTTGGAAAATTAGTCGCAAACATACCGCAAAGGACTAATTGGTCTGCAGAAAGCATTTAACATTTTATTATTATGTTACAGATTAATGGAATTATCATTACCTAATACAATTAGTGACTAGATATTTTCATGTTTGCGTAATCATCTCCAATTATACAGTCAAATCTTGAATATTAATATATAAATTTATAGTTTTTATTTATTATATTTGATTGCTGGCATGCTTATTTTATGCAGGAATACATTCTGACTTTTTAAATTTGTTAGATCTGATTCTTTCCAAAGAAAGAATACGGTTAAAACCAAAGAAGGGTTCGTTTTTGATAATCTAGTCTATCAAAAACATGGGGTGACATCTCCAGCTCTTCAAGAAACATACAGACCTTAGAAGATTGTTACTGTAGAACTTGATATAAATTTGAAAATAATCGATTGGAAGTTGTCTTTCAGTGGAAGTTTAATTTCCTCTCAACACCACCAACCCAAATTATGGGTTGCGCATTTTCCCGATTGTGACCGAGTATCTTTCTGCCGACCAAACGGAATTCTGAAGGAAATCGGCAGATATGAATTAAGGGGGGACCGCGTCATCAGATAATAATTAAGGTCGTATATATAAAGCGCCGCTGGTTTTATCAGCCCTATTTGCTAGGGGTTTACCAAATGGGATCGTAAAAGAGGCGTTTTCTCTTCCCCCGACCTCGCCGGCTTCGATCCCTCCGCCCACGCATTCAGATAAATTTGATACTTCCCTTCGCTCTGGCCAGCTACACGGGAAAAGATCGGGACTATATCGATTTGTAGGTGATGCGGAAAATTTTTCTTAACTGTAGAACAGCTTTTTTTCTGTTTCAACGAATATAAGCAATTTCCTGTTTACCAAAATTTCACGGCAAAGTGAAACTTAGGCCAAAAGATTCAATTTTTAAACGTCTTCGTAAAGGTTATAATACAATATTTCTGCGTGTAGTGTAATTGTTATTACAGTTCCATACAGGTTAATCAAACGCCATGCAAGTGTTGTTGAAACTTTTAACTTCTAGGTATGAACATAGGATCATCTTAGAATTTAGTCGTGAAGTTCTTCGACCGAGACTTTAGCATACTTACCGTACCTTTTATGATGTGAACTTTTATGTGTGCAATCCGCGTTAAAATTCGGTTGACTTTTTCTGGATGAAGTTTGTTACATAGACATTAGCGTAGAATACTAACAATTATGAAAAGCCAGGATCCAACCTAAGCAATTTGTGTATGCTGACCAAAAACGGAGCAAAGAAAGGCAAAGGAAATTGTCCAAAAGTTCCATAGAAATGCATCTGCAACAACATTGGTACTATTAACACAATCATAGAAGAATTTATCCGACAGTGGAAAAAAAAGTCTAATAAAGTCTTTAGACTTAGAACTGACATGGTTAAAACTATCTCTGGCTTATCAAAGAAAATTCTATTGTAGAAACCATTTAACATAATTACTGAAAAGAGAACTAATGGGGAAAATGAAAACGACAAACCTGGAGCTCTATTCGGGTATATGAACGGCTCGAAATAGGTGCCGATCATAATCAACTTTCAAGCTGAACTGCTAGCCATAAAAACATGTGACATGAAAGAAATAATAAACATCTCAAAAGTGCAATAATCATAATACTTTGAGATAGTCAAGCAACTCTAAAGACTCTCTAGGTTCTCGAGATCAGCCCAAAACTTATCTCGAACCACGTAAATTTCGTAAACAAACTGGGATTAAAAAATACACCAACGCCAATGTGAGTCCTAGGATATGAAGGAATTGCAGACAACGAGGCATCAGATGTACTTGCGTAAAAAGTACAAACTGAACAACCCAATCCAAGTCTTTTTTCTGGCATAAACTATAGTCATAATAGAAAGGAACTAGAACTCTGGTAATAGGGTAAGAACGCAACAAATATTGGGAGCGAACGCGAGGTTTGAGGTTATATCCCACAAGAGAACGAGAAAATCCTCCTAAACTGAAAGGAATAAAAATCTCAAAATGGCATATTCACAAGACATGCTCCAGTAAAGTACCACGTTAAAAATAAGACTATAATTGGTGTCAACTATATCAATTATGACTCAAAAAGCTAAAGATAACAGAACTTAACTTCCGCTCAATTGTAATGAACAGGCTAAGGTCTCAGAAAGAACCGTCTTGAACCATGCAGTTCTTGATACAATACCTCCGAAAAGAATTTTTTCCGATCAGAAAATTCATTAGCAGAAATCGACACAATAGCCGAATGAGGGGTTAAAGGAGAAATCACTTCGTCTTTACATGGGAAAGGTATAAAAACAGCGAGTATAAATTAAAAATAATGAGTAAAAATCATTCTGCCTCTTTATTGCAACAAACATTTTAATTGGTCAGTTTTAACAGATATTGCTACCTTTGCTACAATCATAAGACATTCATTTTCCATATGCAGGGTGCATTTTTTGACGCACCAGAGGAAAAACAATGTAGCAACTGCTTAAATAAATTATAAACTCGCTACTGTACAGCCATGACCCTCGTTCTAGTGTATTTCAAATTGTCCGTCGTTTCAATATGATAAAGGGCTTTGTAGAAAATTAAAAAATACAACTTTTCAGGGTAGGGAATATTCTAATTGAGCTGAATTTTTTCAAGTTAAATTACCTAGCATTCGAGAGCATTTTAGCGGCTCAATTTAGGTTAAAAAAACGATTCAAGCCGCTATATTAACTTCATAGACGATATTTTACATTAATGATGGTTGTGATGTGCTGCATGATTGTTGTTGTGTTCATCAAGCAAGATACACCAGAACCCTTGATGCAAAGCTTTAAAAAAATTATTTAAAATGCTTCTAAAGCTTTATTCTTGTCCAAACAAGATGTGGTTTAATTAAAAATAAATAAATTATTTTTATGATCAGAATAGATCGAACACGAAGTACATCTTTTTGGATGAAGCAGCTACATTAAAAATTGAACCAAAAAGTCTTAATTATCTATGGTCCGAATCTCAACAGTTTCGGAGTTATTACCATTTTCTGATATTTTAAGATTTCACGACCTAGCATCAAATGTGTATGCATCAAATGATAACACCAATACTGAAAGGTTTCGGGCAAATGCTTTGATATCATTGAAAACTCGTTAAATTTCCAATGAAATATGATCAATGCTAAACTTGTAAACGTTGGTAAAATAAGCATTTTAGTAACCAGAACGTTGAGAATTTTATTTTTCCGAGTTGAAATTTAACTATGGTGATTCGAGCTAATATTTCCAAAACTAGAGAATAACAAATTTCAGAAAATTTTCTGCATTTAATATCTTTTTTAGTGGTGTAATTGCGTTTGTAATTACTTTTTTCAAAGTTGAAGCAATTTATAAAGGAAATGTAAAAACCGTCGTTGACGGATTGATGAAGTGAAAATATTAATAATAATCAAATTCACTAGTTTTCGTGGTCCGCTTGACCAATTAATATCTTTTAATTAATTAAGATTTTTAGTTGAGATAAACAAAATTAATAAGAATTAAAAAAATTTAAGGAAATTTTGAATGAATTTATTAAAAGGTTTTTAATTTGGGATTGAAACCGAAAAAATCAGAAAAAGTGGAATGACTCCGAAACTGTCGAGATTCAGACCATAGTTAATTTGGACTTTTTGGTTCCATTTGGAATGTGGAATCTACTGGCAAAGTTAGTAACACGAGTAGGCGAACACACTGTATGTATTTTTATCTTTATATTAATTACAACTAACTTATTATAATGTGAACCAAAATAAACCAGAGCCTAATAACATTCCACTAAAAGCTAAACTCAAAAGATTTATTGTTGTATCTAGTTTGCCATAATTGGGGATATGAATAGTACATCTGCAAAGTAATCAACATTGTACAGCCTACAGTGATGGAAAAGGTGATGTAGGAATTTCGAATATCCACCACCCAAATTGAGGGATGCGTAATGAGTAAAGGACACGTGTAAGAATGAGTGGGAGTTTAAATTTAAAAACTGAACCTGCTAACTGTTGACATCTTTTGAGTCTTAACTGTTGACTTTGACGGCGGCGCGGATCCTCGGGACCCTGGACTGCCAAATCTTTGAAAAAGGTTATTTTGTACACGTACTGGATATGCGTATGCAGAGTTAAGCTTATTTAAATCAATAATAAGTCAAAAAACACGTTTTTCTTCCAATACAGCACATCGCTGTATACTGTTTTAGTCATAATCGACATTACCTAGGGAATTTTTTTTAATGTTATATAATTCAAAGCGGTTTTAAATAGACAAAAAGGTAGTAGAGGTTCAAGTAAAATTTTCAATATTTTACCCATGGGAAATCACGAAATTGTATTAAATAAATTAATTAAGAGGGTGTTGTATAAATGCGTGTCTCAAAGGGGAAATAAATTTTCGAAACCACATTCACATACTTTAAAAGTTACTTTTATTTTTAAATCTTTCAAAATGTACTCACGAACGCAATTTGGGATCTTTTAAATTAATAAAGACAAAAGCCCATTTTTCTCGTTTGTTGTTTGTTGATATAAATACAGTAAACTTAACGATAAAAAGGGAGGTGTGTATTATTACCGTTTTAGATACATTTGGCAGAATTTAATGGATCAGAGATAAAAAAAAGATAAGACTTTTAGCCTCGCTTGTTTAGAAGTGACAAATTTTAAAGGTTTTTCACCCCGCCCTTTTACTATTCGTTCCGGATAAAATGGAATTCGACAGCCCATTTCCGTTTCGTCGTTCTGTCAACGTTCATCCCTTTCACCTGAAAAGGGTTTTTCATCTGGTACGGTTTTAGACTGGTAAATTACCGCGTGGTAAAGGTGAGAAAGCGAAGGTAAATGACAAAAAACAGTGAGCAAACTGGCTTGTTAGGCAATAAAAAAGTTTTATAATAAAGCGCTATGTTTATAACTGAGGATATACGCTTGGGAAATTCTACATAGATAGTATTATTTATCGTACTACGGATGAGACTTCCTCTTGAAATATAACCGAGCGTCTTTCTTATTCAGCTTTCTTACCCGCAAATGAAACAATTTCTCTAAAGAAGACGTTTTCGAGGCTACCCTTCTCGTAGTTCAAAGAATACAAGTGAGAGGGGAGAAGAAAGTTTTTAGCGGCTCCGAGTCGGATTATTCAACCCATAACTTTTTCAGTACCGCCATATTTTTTAATGAAGTAACGCCACGAGAACACAAATATAAGGGCGTGATTTTCTACTTTTCTCGGTTTATAAGAATCATCTTTTATAACGGACGATTTAAGACCCGCGTCAACCTGTCGCATAAAATACAATGAGACGAAATTGAAAACCAAAACGGGAAATACGGACAGACCTGAGGAAATTGCACGACTAATTCCACATTAAAAGGTAAAGTATGAGCCTCGTTTTTCAATATTTACAGCCTCACCACACCTAGCCCTACCAAGAATAAATCAGAATTAAATTTCAATCTGGTCGGATCATCGAGGGGGAAGAGCAAAGTGGGGAAGGTGGAAATTATAAGGACTTCTTCCTCCAAAGGCTTATTGAATCTGGGGTCTCTCCTCGTTTGATATTGGAACGAGATAAACTTGGAGATCTCAAATAAACTCGATTAACCAATTGTTAAATTTCTCTCCCATCGACCCAAATCGTTGGCTGGGTTATTGAAGTTAAGCCTGACGAACATTAATTAAATATCCTCTTATAAATTTCACCTTGGAAATATGATGAACTTTATTATACAAAAAACAAGAAAACTCTTTATTTCAATAGAATAGCATAAAAAGAACAAACTATTTCACAAAAAAACTATTTTTCTATTCAAAAGCAGCTTGGGTTTATGCTTGTTTGGCTGTCAGTTCAAATAAAATTAAAAAAATATTATAGATTGATGTTTTACGCTTCATGCGACTCGGAAGAAGTGTTGCGATTTGTGTTTAAATGGCTGGAGGTGGGTGCAAGGGGTAAACTCAAAAGTACATTTTCGCAGTAACTCCTGAACCATTTTCTATGAAATTTGGCACACATTTTTCGCTATAATTACCCTCATGTTTAGCACAACTCATGTGCATCAAAGCAAGCATTCAAAAAAGAGTTTTTTAATTCCTCCAGTTCTAATTTATTTTCGAATGGGACGTTGATAGTATTTCGTATAGTTAAAAAGGTTCGGAATCTCTGAGAACTTTCCAGTAGATCGGTGTAATCGTTTCAAAGCTATCACCATTTTCGTGATTTTTGCGAACAAAAATATTCTGATACATTTAATAGTCAAATATCAAAATCTTTGAGAGAGAAAATATTATATGTTTGCTTATTAATTTGTTTTCCTTGATTAAGAAACAAATCTTATATCTTCCCAGAAATGAAAGAAAGTCTATTTGTTGGCTTGAAAGAGTGCAAACGTATTCCAATCGGAAATTTTTTTACCTACATTTGTTTTTGTTAATTTTTATATATCTAAACTCACTTAGTTGATGATCAGAGCTAATTATTTCGATATCCTAGATTTTAAAAGATTGCATATCAGCTCAAAAATGTATATTTTTCGTCACAAAAAGATATGACGTAAAGAGAGCAAACGAATCCAGATCGGTTGAATTTTTTTTTACGTACATTACTTTTGTTTTGTAACGTTTTGTATACTAATTTCATTGAATGCGATCCTGCTTATTATTAGTGTGTTATCATGATCCTAGGATATGCGGCTAATATATTTTCCTTCTAGTATCACCAAAAAAGTTCTACTAACATCGATAAATCTACGTTCGAAACCTGTTTTCTGCAAAGAGCATGAGGCAAGGCCTTAAATGATATAACCACAATCCAACTATTATTATTTCAAACCCTGCCCTGTTTAGCTTGAGCTTGTCAAAAATGTGTAAAACATATGTACACATTTTTGGTAAGCACTTCGTAAACATTCAATATTGAACAAATTTTCTTCATAGAAATAACTTACGTCATAAGATATTGTAATATGAAACGTATAAATGACAATTACATATGAAAATGTAAATTACAAAACTATCATTTTACAGTTACCTTAAATTATCACCCACGTCGTAATAATGCTTCGTACATATTAAAAATCCCGCTCATGAAATTTTTTTCCTGTTTTCTCAAGAAGACAAACAAAAAATGATGTCGATCTACAACCCTTTCGTAGTTAAGAGCATTAATAAGGCGACTCACAAAACCCTTCATGTGGAAAGACTGATGATGACAGCTAAACCAAGCGGTGAGAGGGTGTCATGACTCAAAAGGTCTGAGCATTTTTTACTTTTCAAATAAGATTTTTTCCCTTCGCATCAAAACGTTGCCTCATATTCTGTTTTTATAGAATAGATAATGACAAAAACAAAATGATCACACATGTACTAGAAGGAAGCAAATATTTCTTCTCCAAATAGTTTATGTATATATTTTCAATTAATTATACTAAATTATGTTATTTAGCTATTTTATTTATTTTCTATGTATGATATAAACTTTAAAACATTATCAACAAATTTTCGTTTTCTTCAAATTAGTTTTTTCCTGATTTTAATAACATTAAAATTAAATTTAAAATTAAATGTTATACCAGCCCTTTGTCTAAATGTTTTACCAGTGTTTCACTTTATCCGACTAAATTGATAAAAAAGGACTGTCTTTCAGATAATTCTGGAGTTGAACTCGGGCCGACTGGAACCTGTGGAAGCGTTTCTCGGAGTCAAGTACGCCACTGCGATCCGCTACGGGGCTGCGGAGCCCGTGCCGAGATGGTCCTCGACCAAATTGGCCGACTCCCAGCCCCCCGTCTGCCCTCAGGCGATGCCGGACATCTCCAACAAAACGGCCGCACTTCAGTTCATGCCGAAGAATCGATACAATTTCCTCCGGAAGTTGTCGCCTCTCCTGGCCAACCAAACGGAAGACTGTCTACACCTCAACATTTATGTTCCTGGAAGCGGTGAGTCCCTTTGTCTATAAACTTAACTATATTCCAACACTGATTTATAACATAACACGAAATTTTAGAAACAACATTTTTAATATTTCCCTTCTTTATAATCAATAGTATAGTCGTAAAGTTAGCTTTGTTAGGGTGGGATTTATTTTTGTAGGCTGTGGGATGTTTTGATTTTTTAAACATGTAGCTTGGTCGATCTTTTTCGTCCATCTTCTCTTGCTTTTCTGGAAGTCAGAATTTTCTTTATCTTTTCGGTTGCTTTTTGTTTTGCGACAACCAGAACTATATTTGTATTTGTATATAAATGTCTTAAGAAGAGATGTTTCTGTATAAACTGACAGATAAAAAATTCCACCCACTTGTAATATAATTTATTTGTGTATATTTTTATATATTAATCAATGTTTCATGTTTTCTAACGTTTAATAATTGAGTATTTGTCTAAAAATGTAAAAAAATGTAAATTGCTAAGGAAAACCAAAAATAAAAAATAAAAAAACAATAATTAAAAAAAGACAGATAAAATTTATTATAGAGTTTTAATTACCATTTCAGTATCGCGTATTTCCTCCATTTGCCTTAATTACGTCTCGACATACTTCCTGCCAGTCTGGAAATTCTCTTTGCAGGAGGATAGCCCATTCTACACGAAGAGTCCTTTCAAGATCGTGGAGTGTATCAGGAAATGGCGGACGTGCTCTTATTCGTCTTTTGAGGTTATCTCATAAATTTCGGTCGCGTTCAAGTCTGGAAAACGGGCTGGCCAGGCTAAGACCCTGATGTTATGCTGTTGAAGGTACGTTTGTACTATGCGAGCGACATGTGGACGGGCATTATCGTGCATTAGAATAGAATTGCCGCTGATTTCAACGAGGAAAGGCAACGCATTGGTGTTCCAAAATTTCATCCACATAGTGAGTGGCCGTCAAAGACCCTCCCCGAGCAACAACCATCTCTGGGCGACTCTCCATTCCAATTACTGCCCACATCATCACTGAGCTACGTTGAAAAAGTTGGCTCTGGGAAAAACTGCAGAATCGTAGAGTAAATCTAGAATCTTATGTAAAAAGTACAGCAGACCAGTCGTCCAAAGACCAATGGCTGTGTTCTCGAGCAAATGCGAGCCGTGCAGCTCTCTGTGATCTGATCAATTCTGGTCTTCTTACGGGGCGAAAATTCATCAGACCATACTCTGAGAATAAACATTCAAATTCCCAAAAATTTAAACATTAAAAAATCCTTTATTCTTGTTTTTGATATCGGATTAAGTGTGTTTACCGTTAATTGATATTTGCAATTTAAAACAGCATAAACAAATATTTATTGGTAAAAAGAAAGAGACAAATTAAGGGTAGAATTTTTTTTCCGCGAAAATGACAAAAACATTATTGGGTGGAATTTTTTGTCTATCAGTGTATTTTAAGGAATATAAACACAAAAATTATAAATCATTATTTTCAACGATACTTATAAATGATACATAAACGTTAACAAAAAAATTAGAAATATAATTTATCAAATAAACTTACATAATATAGGAAGAAATTTTAAATAATGTTTCCTGATAAAAACAACCTGGATAAAGCATATCGGGACAGAACAACCACCCTTTCTCTTGGGCTGTAATAATAAGCACATGTTGGTGGTCATCAAGTATATGATCCTGTCTCAATTTCACTATTTAATTTTTTTGAAGTATTCAATATAAAATAGAAAATGAAATCAGGTCATCTGCCTTTTATTTTTCAGCTTTTTCCAAGTTACTGGTTGGTTAGAGATACAAGTAATTTTATTTTACACAATTGAATTTCATATTTAATTTGTAATTTTAACACAAAAGAATAGAAGTTACCTTATTGATTTGTTTAATTTAAATGTGAAATAGGAGTTTATTTTAAAATAAATTGCTTTCAATATTTTAGTGCAAAAAGGATTTTTGCTGTGTAATTTAAAATTTAATAAAAAGTTTGATCATATACATTCAAAGAAAGGTATTTTAATTCATAATTAATTTGATTTACTTACTACAAACTTTAAGGTAAAAGGTATTTTAGGATATATTGTATCTTTCATTTTGCGTTTTCCTCTCTTCAAAATTATGAATAATTAAATTTAAAAAACCTGCTACTTTGGTAACTTATTTATACTATTAGTATTAATTTGGGCTCTACTGTATAAACAATAGAGGTACTCTTATTTAATCAAGATACTCGAATTCTGTTTAAAGATTTTAATAATAGTCATTAATAATACCCAATTCAATTTAGTTCCTTAGATCGGTTTATCATCTTGGGCAAGTAATATTTTACTTTTTGGGCCACAGCACAATCTTTTTCTTTGTGCTTATTTTTTTCTTTCACAGTTAAAAAAAATGTAGGTGACAACTACATACCGAAAGTCGGACTAGAAGTGGACAATTCTACTTCTACCATATTCGCACACTTACAAAACTTGAAATTTAAATACCTCTTTAAAATGATACAAACCACACCAGAGTATATAATATGCTAACAGACCTGAAGTCCTAACATAAAAGGCATAACATTTAATACAGAAGCTAACGTAAAAACAATATAAGTATTGCCAAAGCTGATGATAAATTAGACCTACAGAGAAAGCCAACAGTAACAACATCATATCAACTGACTCAAACCAGAAAAAAAGTTATAAATTGGCACCGTTCAAATAAAAGACGGACAGATCGATGTGAACAATATACAAACAATAAAAAACCAGCGCATAACAAAATGTCAATAAACTATCAAACAAAATAAAAAACGTAACTAAACCTAAAAATCATATTGGATTCACCTCATTCACATAGATGGAGATAGAAAGACAAAAATTAGTCAATTTACTAAACAAATTATCCAAAAAAACTCGACTAAAGACAGTCACAGGTGGAAAATCATGAGGCAAAACATGGACCAAATTAACGCCATACATAGGTGTCCCGTGAACGTACACATTTCATGTGGTTATTCTACATGTCAAACGGGATTAAAAAGTCCCCGTTGTCCTGCCTGATTCTTAATTTCTGTATTCGAGATATGACACTTTTCGCTTTATTTCAACGTTTCACAACTTTTTATCATTAAGCTCCTGTATCTCATAAAATATTAATCATACATTTAAATTTTATTATATCAGTGGAAAGAGCATGGAAAAGTCCTATAAGAATCATTTTTAGTATTTATTGAGTAAGCAGAATACAAAAACAGTTAGTTGATAAAATTTTACGACTAGATTCACTAGTTTTCGTGGTCCGCTTGAACAATTAATACATTTCAATTAATTAAGGTTTTAAGTTGAGATAAAAAATTGAATTGTATTAATTGGTCAAGCGGACCACAAAAAATAGTGAATTTAATAAATTAAAATGATGTATACTTCAATAAAGCTCTCCCTGGCCATTTCATTTGTCGCCGAGAATCAAATCGATTGCACGATATTTGAAAAAATGGCAAAAAGGAGGGAAAATTCGAAGGTGGGGTTGAGATGGAAAGTTAGTGCCCGAGTGGATCGAAGTCACGATAGCTCAATTGTTAGAGTAGGGGCGTATCAAGCCGGAGGTCGTGGGTTCGAATCCCGCTCGTGACACTGGCTTTTTTATCTCAACTTAAAACCTTAATTAATTTACGACTAAAGTTTTTGTCTAATGCTTCAAAATTTTTGTCTAAAGGTTAAGTAAGATATTCTTGGTTCTATATTTACGGCAGATATGGCGCTTACTGAAAGCTTGTCAGACTAATGATCTGCAATATATGTATTTGATTTGAAAGGTCATTTACCACCAAAGTAAAATTAAAATTTAATTGCTAAAATTTGGATTTGTTGTTTGACAATGAATTAAAATAATTTGTCATAAAGACTTTATTGATTTATTTATTTATACTACATAGGGAAACCCCTTAATAATCGAAACAGCAGAAGTGCTCTCGTGCCAAGGACTGTTGTTATGTCGTGCCGTACCTACTCGCACCTGTAAGAGATCAAAGCGTGGCACTTCTAGACCAAGTGAGTTACACTGAGCAAACTTTTTCTGACACGACTGCGCGGGGTTTGCTTGAAATCTGGTGTCCGCGTGTCAGTCGGGTAAGGCCTATCCTCAAACTGGTGACCACGATCATTTCTTTGCGTTTCAACGATCCGAACCGTTGATGTTGCCAACGCTCTTTTATTGCGTTCTTTATAGTTTGTACACCGACACCGTGATTTGAAGAACATGAAGTCCCAGATTTCGCAGCTCTCATCATTATTATTTATTTGAAATAATGACAGTAATACGTAATAATGGACCAGGTCAATGACCCCGTAGCTTAGAGATAACCCCGATGAACTTCCATTTATGGGGAACCCTTAAAAAAGTAGTCTATTGTGTTCCCTTCACAACTAAGTAAGGCATCATTGAAAGGGATTCAGCAATTCGTTGCTTCTATGAGAAAAAAGAAGAAGGATGTACTCTTGAGAATTGTAAAATATGTCAGGAAACGATGTCAGTCTTATACTCTTCAAGAGGGTGGACATTTAATTTAATTTTAGAAGCTTGATGTTTTTTTATCTTCAATTTTGCACCAGTCTTTTTTGTTCACATTGTATTACGTTCATTATTTTTTTAATCAAAATTTCACATTTTAATTACTAATTGTTGATCTGTTCGTAGATGAAAAATCAGATTTTTAACAATTAAGTGTTACTTTTCTACTGGTGATAACCGACCTTTGAGCAATTAAGTATATATAGTTAAAGCTCATTCATACGAGCAAATTTTCTGTAAGCGCCATAGCTTCGATATTTACAGAGCCAAGAAAATCTTTCTAGGCAAGAACTTTTAAAACACGCACTATGGAAAATAGAAACTAATAATTCTGTGTTTCGTTTAAAATAACCCACTAAAGTATTGACGACTCCCCTCGGTACGCCCTGATACAAACGCAAATGGTGGTGAAAGTATATTAGAAAATCAAGGTAGAAAATAAAAGTCATATACTGAAAACATA